AAAACCCCCAGAATCCTACACTTGCGAATCAGATCATGGCGATCGAGTGATTCGTCAGGAAGAAGATATGCCATCAACGTCAAGAGATCCTCATTTTATACCGAGCACGTCATGCCACCAACCGCACAAGATAACACAGTCAGAATTAAATGATCTTGTAAGAGATTTAGAACTTCAAAAATGTAAGGCAGAGTTACTTGGATCAAGACTGCAGCAGTGGAACTTGTTAGAAGACGATGTTTCGGTATGTGTTCTTCGTAAACGCCACAAAGACTTAGAACCACTTTATGGAGAATAACTTGGTTTTCTGCAGTAACATTAACGGCTTACTGGCGGCTTTAAATATGAACTATAACCCAGAAGAATGGAGATTGTTTATAGACAGTTCAACATTAAGTTTAAAGGCAGTGTTATTGCATATTGGAAATATTTTACCATCTCTTCCTGTAGGGTATGCAGTTCACATGAAAGAATCATATGACAATATGAAGTACCTATTGACATGCATAAAATACGATGAGCACCAATGGCATATTTGTGGCGATTTGAAAGTTGTTGCACTTTTACTTGGGCTGCAGCTAGGCTACACAAAGTTTTGCTGTTTTTTGTGTGAATGGGACAGTCGGGCAAAGGCACTTCATTACACCAGACAAAACTGGCCTGTTCGTCAATTCCTAGAGCCAGGTCAAAAAATGTAAAGCATGCCATTAGTAGATTCGAAAAAAAAATTATTACCACCACTGCATATCAAGTTGGGCCTAATGAAAAACTTTGTCAAGGCATTAGATAGAGATGGGTCAGCTTTTCAATACCTGCGTCAGAAATTTCCAAGACTAAGTGAGGCAAAGGTTAAAGAAGGTATTTTTGTTGGGCCACAGATTCGAAATATTTTAAAAGATAGACAGTTTGAAAACACTTTAACAGGTATTGAAAAAACTGCTTGGAATGATTTCCGTCTGGTGGTCACTAATTTCTTGGGAAATAGAAAAGCTGACAACTATAAAACCCTTGACAAAAATATGCTGTCATCGTATCAAAAGATGGGCTGTAATATGTCTCTTAAGATACATTTCCTACACTCACACCTGGACTTTTTTCCTGACAATTGCGGAGCCGTAAGTGATGAGCACGGCGAACGTTTTCATCAGGATATTTCAACAATGGAAAAAAGGTACCAGGGAAAGTGGAATCCTTCCATGCTTGCAGACTACTGTTGGACTCTTGGTAGAGATGCTCCAGAAACGATCCATGAAAGAACAGCAAAAAGACAGCGCATATAGTGATTCTTATAAGTATATGAATCTTGTTACTTTTTTTAATATATCCTTAAAAATAAAAATTAACAAAGAAGTGCACTTTTCCCACAAGATACAATTAAAAACTAAAATTTGTTGTCCAGTGTTATTATTATTATTATTATTATTATTATTATTATTATTATTATAATACGGTATCCACGCATGAATTTCATTATCTCAAGTTTTGATTTTTTGAATTCGTTCATTCGGGACATTAAGGAAAAGCACTGTACATTATTCTGTGCCTCCCTGGATGCGCCGCCACTGCTGGCATGGCAATGGCGCGCGACTCCCAACTCGAAATTTAAGATAATGAAACTTCAACACAATGCTCGCGATTAAAGGTGGCGATAAACGCCGCGCGCCGGCTGTTCCTCCGCTCGCCAGACTGAAGCGTTAACTGTTTTATTATTTTCATGGGCGATTTTTCAAATAACTGAAAAAGGTCAGATTAAAAATAAATCTCGCCGAAGAATGTTCGATTCGAGCATTCTTCGCACTCTGAAGATACCTTTCGCGATTTTTTACGTAAACTTTATTGCGCATGCATGGGACTATAGACATGAGTCGTATGAGGACTGAATAGCTCAATGTTTGCAAAGAAACACCCATTGTCTTGACAAAATAAATACAGAAAGCAGTTGCATAAGAGACAATGTGTAGCTGAATATAGTCCTTCCACTGAAACAAAGCAGTTACGTCATATTTAGTAAATTTTAATGCCAACCTTAATGCAAAATAGATCCCAAACTGGCATATTTTGGTACAAATCTTGAAGTGGGCCAACTGAAGTGGGAAGGGCCTCGTGTAGTTTGAATTTCTCGGGTACATTTATGTTGATAACAGTTTTCTGCATTGTGACATTGTGGTTTATTTCCTAGGATCTAGTAGTATTAAGTAATGTGGCAACCATGTGCGTCACTGTCATTATTTGACGTTGTGACGTAAACGCCTCGATTCAGTGAATATACTGTACAAATGAATCGGTCAGTGCAAATACCTCATAAGTCCCAAAAATTGATTTTTTCATGAGACATTGAAAACAGTGTTACTGACCAACAAACCAGTTTTAAAGTCCTATTTTGGGCTTAACGTTGTATTTGAATTCTGAGAGATTGAACTTTAAAGTAACGTTCGCAGTTTATTAATAATAATAATGGAGAAACCGGCAAAATTGTTAAGGATTACATTTTTCATTGCTTATTATTCGAAATTACATACAAATGCAGACCAATACACATAATGATCCAGATGCTATCTTTCTACTCAACCAACTCTCTTTCTTTCACGTCTTCTCAGAGAACCTACTTGCCTTTCTGCAACCAACAATGCATGCTTGAGCGTGTCGTGTCGTTGAGTCATTCAAAAACTAAATAGTCTGCAAGATGACGTTTTGTCGGTTTTTTTACGTTTTTTAGATTTTCTACGTAATGTCCCTGCCGCTCAATATATGCTGCTTTTCGGGGTGATGAAATTGAAGCAGTTAAGCTATATTAGCGCAAAAGTAGCACAGTTTTCCCAGGGCCTCTCACCATTGCATCCTTCTACCGATTCGATATACAGGGTGGCCCATCGAAAACGAAAAAGACGCATTTACTGGCAGCTCAGTTTTTTTTTGAAAAACGCTCAGACCCGTCGATTTTGTTCTTGAGGGGGACTCAAGTTTCACAAAAAACCACGTTTGGTGCCCATTTTCAACATTTGCTTGCCTAACGGGTCAGTTCATTCTTCATTTTTAAATTACTTTGCTGCCAAATGTATTGATCTCCACTAATGATGTATTAGTTTTATTTAAACTTTAAATCAATGAATCTTCAAAACTACTGAACTGAAGTACATTAATTTTATATCATTATAAAGGGAATTGAAAGACCTTTAAAATAAGGTATCACTCGACCCCCATTTCCATTTAAGATTATGGGGGTGGTGTCACCCCGCTTAGGGGGCTGCACGTGCTAACGTGATTTTTTGCAAAACTTGTGCCCCCCTCGAAAACAAAATCGACGGGTCTGAACGTGTCTCCAAAAAAAAACTGAGCTGCCAGTAAATGCGTCTGTTTCGTTTTAATAATCTGACCACTATCGTTAATCGTCACTTGCTATAAAAGATATTGCTAACTGCATACAGCGAATATTTGAACAGCGAAACAGCCGAACCTATTTCCGTAGTTTCGTATTCTGATGACTGATAACACAGATAAAACATTGACTCATGGCACAAGCCTAGATTTACTCTGCCTTTTTCAGCTTGTTTACAATTTTGTAGATAATATATATTTACACAAACGCACGTTCACACTTTATCAACTCTTTCTTCGCGATAATAGCGATTACTAGCCCCTAGCGGCATTCATCAAAGAAAAATGTGCTATTTCTAGTAAAAGTTGGAAGAACCATCGTAAACTGAATAAAAAAGATTATTCGCCCATACATTTTAGTTTGATTTTATGTATAAAAAAATTATAAATTGATGAACTGTAAAACATTACCCTCAGAATCCATTCATTTATTTTCTCTTTGGATAAAACATTTTAAAATCATCCAGTCTCGATCTGGGATCATCCAGAAACGATTAAACAAAAATTATCTGCCTAGATATTATTAATTGAGTTGATGATTGAGAAACACGATCAAAACATCAGATTCAATATCTAAAATCAGAATCTCCGGTGTATTTGTATGACAAAATAATAAACGCTTATTGTACACAAGTACCGTAATAACATTTATAGATTCGGTTCAATTTGTGGATTGACGTTTTTGGGTCGCGCATATTGACTTATAAGGAAAGCGAACTAAAACTTATTTCTTAAATTAGTCTGTCCTTCAGTGGTTACATGAATTCATTTGTGTTTCGTCAAGATTCATTAACAATTTAATAGAGACCGAAGACTCTGCCTGTTTCATTAGAGATTAACGTTGTTTCACCCAATTTTCCATTGGGGTTGAGCCATTTTAGTAATATAAGACGTATTAAAATGTTCAGGTTTTCAAATAAATTATGACTATCTTATGTTTTGTCACTGAGTAATTTTAGAGAGCAACATTGGTTATGACGAAATTCTCCAATGATGTGCAGTATTATACTGTTAATATGTGTTTGTTATTATTATTTAGCTAGCAACCTAAATGACATGCCAGATTTTCGATTCATTCAAAGTGAGCGATAATCTAAACGTTTATTTAATACCTCCCAAGTCTTCATAAATTGAGTATATTTAAATTTTCCATACACATGAATTTTAAACTTTTGTTTCTGAATCCGCACCACAATATTTTTTTAATTCCTTCCTACATGGAAATTCTTCAAGCATGATATGGAAATTGTAAGTCAAGAATTGAGGTTTTTTGTTTCAAAATCGTTTGTTCTCTATTATCCTTTTTATTAGGAAGCCCTGAAATACTAAGGGGTCAAGTTCCTAAAACCTCTCTAAAACTATACGCTTAAAACATAACAGAACGTTCAAAACAATTACAGTTTTTTGTCGCCTAAAATTTTGAAGCTAACCGAACTTCATCCAAGCTCCTGAGAATCTGAGATCCATCGCCAAGATTTGTTGAAGCCCAAATCGTAACAAATCTGCAAATAACAGCTCGAGCCGGTCCTGTCCGCACCGGGCAGCCGTAATACTGGTTGCATACCATCGGCAACTCGATAAATGCCGATTTGGCATGGGCCTTGGGCTGAGGAAACATAACCACATTTTTCCGTGGACGTAAACAAGATGTAAAGCACAAAAGAAATGTTTGCGAGAGCGTTTTTACCGTTTTTCGAGTGTAATATGGCCCTTTGAGGACCAGATGGTGAATTGAAAGATGTGGTATAGGAGTTATAAGCACCGCGGAAAGAGATATTATGCATTTTTGAGCAGGTATGAGCTCTCAGATTATATTTGTATTGATTCCTTGGATTTACCTATAGTAGTCATAAAACGCGTTCCCGTTACCACATTCCTGAGCATGTTCTCCACTCTGTGGCATGATGGGACTAAAAAAGTCATGATAATACTTATTTTCTCATTCATCTTTTCATTTCAAAGTTTGAAATAGGCCTTGGAATGGATTGGATTGACTATTAGGTTTGATATGACATTTTTATTGGTAGCCAGTTCAGTCCAATGCTGTATTTTTGCATGAATAAACGAACGCTCTTTAAATGATTCCTGTTATAGTTAACCCATTATAATTTAGATTGTATTGAGCAAGTAAAAACATGTTATTCTAGACAATTTCTAGTTCACCTTGCTGATTCTCTAAAAGAACTGTTTTTGTTTTTAAACAAACCTAATCTAGAAATAGTTTCTGAATATAATAAATAGTTTTTATGCCATATGGATCTATTATTAGTACTTTGTCATACTTTAATTGCTAAAATACATATATCAATCACAAAAAAGGGATATACGAGCCCCTTCCCAGTTCAGTTCAGTTGGCCCACTTCAAGACTTGTACCAAAATATGCCTTTATAAACTAAACATGACGAAACTATTGACTTCTAAAACAATTTATTTTCTCAAAAACATTTTAGATACACTCTAGTCATAAAAATACATATTTGAAATCACTTAGACCTATAACTAATAGAACATCTGAACAAATAAACAATGTGCGAATAAATGTGCGAAGTTAGCAAACCAACAATTGAAAGATTACCATTGGGTAACATCACCTTTATTTTTTATTATGACTGAAATTCTTTGGGGCATAGTGTTAACAATGTTTTCGCAAAATTTGGTGTAAAACAATCCCATATTTCTTGAAGCTTTTGTCTCAGTTCGGTGATTCTACAAGCAGGATGTTGTTGTAGAACCTTTTTCATCTCGTGAATAACTCTACTGCGACTGTCACCAACACAAACTTCGAATCAGACCTCATCACTCCATTGTATTGCACACCATTGTTGAGGTGTCCATTGTCTATGTTCTTTAGCCCATCTAAGCCGATTTTTCTTTTGCAGTGGAGTTAATAGTGGCTTTTCTTTGGCCTATAAACAAGTTGTGCAACTTTAGGGTTTTTACTTCACTTTTTTTTATAAGAAAAGTTACCTTGCAAGTGCTAAGTCCCAGTTTGTCTGCCTCTCTATGAGTTGTGGACCTCAAAATTCTCCTTCCAACAGCGTCACTCCATAGAGCACTTAATTGTGAATAATTGGCACGCCTGTTTTTCACGATTATTCTTCTTACTGCTCTTCGGTCGGCATTTGTGATATTACTTTTTTTTCACATATCGTGGCTTAATATTACCTGAACCAGTTACGTTATATCTTCTAACAATATTTCTCACACTGTACCGCGATAAGTCTAACAAAGTTGCAATTTCTGAGTTTGATTTTCCAGAATTAAAAAATTGAATTATCAGTAACCGAATTTTCTCACTAATAACCTTTCCTCTACCCATTTTGAAAGCCTTAACTACCCAAAACTATTTTAAACGTATTCTGACAGCTGTGATTAATAAAAACAATTGTCATGGCTTTTATTTTTCACAGCCACAATAGGTTGATATGCTGTAATTGCAACATGTGTTATTTTTATGCTGCAAATTTGATTATGGAGTGATAAAGTTGGTGTTTTCTACTATATATTATCAAAATATTCATTGTTAATATTTTAAACCTATAACACCCTGCTACATTTTTATTATTTGTGTTTGATAAGAAAAAAAGTCAATAGTTGGGCCAACTGAAGTGGGAAGGGGCTCATGGTAGTACATATAATTATGTCATCTTTCTGAAAACTATACTTCTAGTTAAAGTACTATGGATCTAGTGCCATAGATGGAGATGCAAAAGATTTTATTTTATATATTACTCAAAGATTATATTGTTTATATACCCAGCATTTAGAGCCAAAAGTCTGTTTTTTTTCTTTCATAAATATCAACTGTTTCTCAAAACAACTATGCAAATATCAGTTCATCTTAGATGCTCAATTTGACAGGATATACTGGGGTAATAGTTTTCTTATCTAGATTTGTTTAAAAAATGGGTCTTAATAAAAACTTATATTCACATCATTCATGATTTTTTTTTTGTTAATATTTCTCCATTGCATTTTTTATGCAGCAAGTATTTATAGCCTCTCATAGTTGCTCATTCATAACAATATGATAAATCACCATAGAATCTATATATTTATCATATTTAACTCCATCATTATACCAAATATGCCAATACTTAGTATTTGTTAGTAATCCAGTAATCCTCATATTACCAGACATTTAAAAATAACCACTTTATATTAATTTAACAATATTAACCCATTTTGGAACAAATTTGTGATATATTTGTTAAATTGAAAATTATTCACTAAATACTGATCGGTATCAGCAACTGATCCTTATGGCAGTATCCCAACATTTGAATAAATACCTCAAATGTATAACAAATGTTGGCATAGGAAAGTGCAAAAAACGTTAATTGTTTTGTACTGTTTGATTAGAGGGTGATATGCAAATAGCGTCATAGGCATCAATGTTGTGATTCCTTAAATCAATTAAATTGTTTATGAGAACGCTTTAGGGCGAGAGTTAACAGTACTAAATATTAAAGTTTTTGGCATTCAATACAATAGTTCCTCCTCTTTCGTGGTTTTTTACAAACTTGAGAAATCGAAACTTGTGCGCGACCTTCTGGGGATCAACACTACTGGGCTGCTGTCTCGCGCAATTCCGATTTCTCATCTCCATACTCAAAAAAACATTGTAGCTTCATCATTATAATGGTCTTTCCTGTTGCAAAAATAGGTGTCTAAGTAAAACATTATCGTTTTGCGAAAGCTATGGCATCCAAAAACTCAAGCTGCAAAAACTCTTTAGGAGATAGACACATGATTAGCAGATTTTTCATCAAGATATCAACCTACTAACTAGTTTTAGCTGTTATTTTCAATTGTTTTAAATGTACAAAGGGTACTATAAAAGTTTTGAAATATGACTTAACAAACGGACGCAGTAGGCTGCATGTTGAGGCATGTCCATGAGTGCATAGTAGCCGCCAACAGCACTTGTTGATTCTGTTAATCATTCGTATTGACAGTGCAATCACGTGGTGAGATAAGGGGGTCTTACGGTATAACTTTTACGCGTGGTTTAAGCTTGCATTAAGGAATGATTGTCCGACTATATTCAGGTGGCACAGGGAATTCCAAGAGGGAAGGAAGGCCGCGAACGTCAGTAACAGTGGAAAACATTACTGCTGTGAGGAAAATGCTTGTAAAAGTCTGGAGAGTGTCATACCAACAGATAGAGACCTTACACCTTCATGCGTCAGCAATTCATTCAATTTTTCATGTCCATTTACACGTAAGGAGACTTAGTTCTCTCCGGGTGCCGCATAGTCTGACGAAAGAGCAGAAGATTCGTCGTACGACTGCAAACTCGGTATGTGAACAACATCGTGACAGGTGACGAGACTTGGCTCTATTATTACGATGTGCCGACCAAGACTCAAAACAAAGCTTAGGTCTTTGATGATGAGCACACACTGGTAGCTGTCAGAAAATCCAGATCTGTTAAATGTTTCAAATCGAGCAGGATTGTGGATATCTTTATTTCTTTAAGAGAAAAGTACACAAATTTTTGATAGATCTAGAACCTTATTGTCTCAATGACTATTTAGCACGCTTCTAGGTTTTTTCTCCCTGTTGTTTTTCTCTTATGATGACGTTATTTCTCCTAACAATGTGGTTACACGTATGTACTTTTCATTGTTGTTATTGTTACACTTGAATACACATTCTCAGACTACTCCCTCTTTCCAGATTACCAATCCGACGGTCCAGATGCGATGTGAATACCAGACTATGCTGATGAGGAGCAGAAGCAGCAGAAGAAGCCATCACCAGGAGCAGAAGCTGAGCTGGTGGAGAGCGTGAGATAGAGTCGAGGGGCCGCTATAGGCCGCCCATCGGGTCGATTCGAGCATCGGGCTTAGCGGCGATGCATTGGCAACCCGGGCAGCTGGCTGCCGCCCGAGGCGCGCTACTGTTGGCCTTCGTGCTACACCATTGGTCCGCCTTGGCGACCATGCCTACCAACGCCAAGTTCTACACGATACATTGGAACTCGTCCAATCCCATATTTCGCATCGATAATACAGACAATATCATCGATGTTAATAGGAATAATATGAAATTTGAATATGATCAGGTGAGTTTCACGACTATTTGTAAACATTTATAAATTAATCGCCACTAAAGTAGGGAGTGTTGAGTGTCACCCTCAAATTATAAACAGTGATACCATCTTTTTCTACGGATTCAATGATGTATCACATGTTACATTTGTTTTCTTGGTTATAAAGAAACATGACTGTGTTTTAACAGGAGAATTCAAAACATCATGTAACATTTCTGGTGTTATCATAGTAAAAGCTTCCATTACACAGTCTCGTAACTGCTGCTCAGTTTCAAAAGTATGCTGATAAACTTGGTTTTAAACCCCAAACAAAAAAGTTCAGAGGAGTTAAATCCGGGGAACGTGCTGGCTACGACACTTCACTGGAAGTTCCAATCCAGATTCTGGGATATCGATGAGAATCATACTCTAGAACTTGCCTAGAGTTATGTGCAGGGTGCCTGTATATTTTTTTGGCCCGCAGATTTTCTTGAGCCAGTAATTAGTGTTTCGGCGATTATTAGTGAATCTCGTCGGACCATACGAGGGTCATCCCAGAAGTACCCGACACAACGAAGAAAACACAAAATTTTTGTAAAAAAGTGTATTTATTCTCCTTTGAGCTCTATACACTTTTCACAGCGATGTTCAATAAGTTCGATACCCTTTTTATAATAAGAACTGTCTTGCTCCTCAAAATAGCCATTAACTGCCGACATCACTTCTTCATCGTTGGAAAATCATTGACAACTGAGCCATTTTGTCAAGTTTGGAAACAGAAAATAATCCGAGGGGGCTAAATCTGGTGACTAGGGTGCATGAGGTAGCAATTCAAACTTTAATTCGTTAATTTTGGCCATTACAATAACGGATTTATGAGCTGGTGCATTGTCTTGATGAAACAACACTCTCTTCTTAACCAAATGCGGTCGTTTTTGCTTGATTTCATCGCTCAAACGTTGCAATAAGTTCGCATAATACTCGCCGTTAATAGTTTTACCTTTTTCAAGATAGTCAATGAAAATTATCCCAAAAAAACCGACGCCATAACCTTGCCTGCAGATGTAACGGTCTTCGCCTTCTTTGGAGCCGGTTGTCCCTTTTGAGTCCATTATTTTGATTGTTCTTTTGTCTCCGGTGTGAAGTGATGCACCCATGTTTCATCCCTGGTTATGAAACGACACAAAAATTCTGCTTCGTTACTGTGAAACTTCGCTAAAACACTCAATTGAAACATCTTCACGACACTGTTTTTGCTCGATTGTGAGCAATCGCAGCACCCATCTTGCACACAGCTTTCTCATGTCCAAATTTTCAGATAATTTGTGATGAACCGCACTTTTTGAAATGTCTACATGTCTGCTAGCTCGCGCACTTTCAGTCGCCGATCATTCAGTATCGCTTTGTGAATTTTCTTCACCATTTCTGCAGTCATCACCTCATTTGGCAGCTCATACGGCCTCGTTTAAACTCTGCTACCCAATATTTTACTGTTGTAAACGAAGGAGCAGACTCAACCAGAGTAGAATCCAGTTCAGCTTTTATATTGGTTTGGCTGAGGCCTTTGAAATAAAAGTATTGTACCACATAACGATGACCAATTTTCTCCAGTTTCACAAATTCACTGAAATCGTTCAGTATTGATGGCTGCCAAACAAATACTAAACAACGTGGCGTCTTCAAACTTGACGCATATGCTTTATAGGTTGCATACTTTCTAATGCAATGATATTTTTCAAACAACTATCTCCATCTCTAGGTCAGGCCGGCTACTTCTGGGACCACCCTCGTATTTTTGAAGGGAAATTAAAATCCTCACGATGTATGTACCACGCATGAAACTGATGGCGTCGTTGGCAAATCCCGAATTTATAGTGTTGATATTTATTTTTACGCAAAATAAATTGGGCTCTGTATTTGGATTCTCCTACATTTTTCTCAATTTGTCTGGTTGATAGTGCCCATCAACTGCTTGTAAAGCACCGAGTTTCCTCTCTAAAGATTCCTTTTTCTAGACACCTCTAAGAAAATGCACTTACTTGGCTGCCTTCTTTCGAGGAATACTTAACAATATACATTTCTGCAGTACTTTTAGTATTTTTGTCATGTCAGCATGCCCAACTTTCCTTCATTGCTAAAATGACCGCCTTGTATCTTTTGACCATACACTGGACAACAAATTTTAGTTTTTTAATTGTATCTTGTGGGAAAAGTGCACTTCTTTGTTAATTTTGGGGCGCTGAATCCAAAAATGACAATGAAATAAAAAAATTAGTTGCGGTTTAAAAAAAAACTTTTTATTTTTAAGGATATATTAAAAAAAGTAGCAAGATTCATATACTTATAAGAAACACCATATGCGCTGTCTTTTTGCTGTTCTTTTATGGATCGTTTCTGGAGCATCTCTACCAAGAGTCCAACAGTAGTCTGCAAGCATGGAAGGATTTCACTTTCCCTGGTACCTTTTTTCGATTGTTGAAATATCCTGATGAAAACGTTCGCCGTGCTCATCACTTACGGCTCCGCAATTGTCAGGAAAAAAGTCCAGGTCTGAGTGTAGGAAATGTATCTTAAGAGACATATTACAACCCATCTTTTGATACGATAACAGCATATTTTTGACAAGGGTTTTATAGTTGTCAGCTTTTCTATTTCCCAAGAAATTAGTGACCACCAGACGGAAATCATTCCAAGCAGTTTTTTCAATACCTGTTAAAGTGTTTTCAAACTGTGTATCTTTCAAATATTTCGAATCTGTGGCCCAACAAAAATACCTTCTTTAACCTTTGCCTCACTTAGTCTTGGAAATTTCTGACGCAGGTATTGAAAAGCTGACCCATCTCTATCTAATGCCTTGACAAAGTTTTTCATTAGGCCCAACTTGATATGCAGTGGTGGTAATAAAATTTTTTTCGAATCTACTAATGGCATGTGCTGTACATTTTTTTGACCTGGCTCTAGGAATTGACGAACAGGCCAGTTTTGTCTGGTGTAATGAAGTGCCTTTGCCCGACTGTCCCATTCACGCAAAAAACAGTAAAACTTTGTGTAGCCTAGCTAAAAGTGCAACAACTTTCAAATCGCCACAAATATGCCATTGGTGCTCATCGTATTTTATGCATGTCAATAGGTACTTCATATTGTCATATGATTCTTTCATGTGAACTGCATACCCTACAGGAAGAGATGGTAAAATATTTCCAATATGCAATAACACTGCCTTTAAACTCAATGTTGAACTGTCTATAAACAATCTCCATTCTTCTGGGTTATAGTTTATATTTAAAGCCGCCAGTAAGCCGTTGATGTTACTGCAGAAAACCAAGTTATTCTCCATATTGAAAAATGGTTCTAAGTCTTTGTGGCGTTTACGAAAAACACATACCGAAACATCGCCTCCTAACAAGTTCCACTGCTGCAGTCTTGATCCAAGTAACTCTGCCTTACATTTTGGAAGTTCTAAATCTCTTACAAGATCATTTATTCTGACTGTGTAATTTTGTGCGATTGGTGACATGACGTGCTCGGTATAAAATCAGGATCTCTTGACGTTGATGGCATATCTTCTTCCTGACGAATCACTCGATCGCCATGATCTGATTCGTTTTCTGATTCGCAAGTGTAGGATTCTGGGGCTTTTGGAATAGGATTTTCGTCACTGTGCCTCACAGTGATGGCATGACGTTGATGGCATATCTTCTTCCTGACGAATCACTCGATCGCCATGATCTGATTCGTTTTCTGATTCGCAAGTGTAGGATTCTGGGGGTTTTGGAATAGGATTTTCGTCACTGTGAGGCACAGGTCTCATCGCAGATGGTATGTTTGGGTAGTTAATAACCGATTTTTTTTTCTTGGACATACCTGTGGCTTGTCCAACACAAGGTACCATGCAAAAGTAACAATCATTAATATGATTTGTAGGCTCTCTCCAAACCATTGAGACAGCAAAGCGCATAGACCGTTTTTTGCCATTTAACCAGCTCCTCAGACTTGAAGCACATGTAGTACAGCAGATGTGGGGTGCCCACTGTTTGTCTTGATCACCTAGTTTACAACCGAAATAAAGCTGATATGCCTTTGTTATTAGTGGAGTTATAGACCGTCTCTGAGACGCAAAAGTCACATCACCACACACGTAACAAAACTGATCTGGATTGTTTACACACTTTCGGGACATCTTGCATGAACGCTGTCAGCCAACTGAGGAAAAAATGGCTAATATAAAACAATATAATGTACACGTATGTATAACGTAACACAATCATGCCGATTACATCATCTTTCCTTGCCGAATATAAAAATGTAGCACGTGCATTCTTGTGACTTACAGTATATTAACACTGTCACAGCAGGAACACATATAATTACCGTATCTCTAAAACTTGAACTAATATTGAAAAATAAGTTTCATTCCGGTTTTAGCACATTAAAAATAGTAATATTTTGTTGATTTTATTTAGGATATTTTTTGGCTGTTGATCAATGAATAAAGCAATATTAAGTATACACAATAATAACAATACTTGATGATAGGTATTTACGTCGAATGAAGCATTTGTTTGCAATGCCTAAAAATAAAAACGTCAGAAAATCGCATTTTTCCTTATAATCAAGAAAACAAATGTCTTACATCGTTGAATTCGTATAAAAATTTAAAAACGCCATCATGTAGTGCCTAAAAACTGCCAATGGAAAAGTGGAAAACTTTCGTTAGTTTCTTGATATTTCTTAAAATAGACAGAAAAAATAAAAATGATTTGGCCAAATATTAGTTTTTCCCAAATTATATATATATTATATATATTATTTTCTTAACAGCATTTAAATATGCCCCAAAGAACGCTGCTTTTTTCTGATTTAACCTAAGCTGTTACCCTACAGGTATTGAGATCCTCTTGAATATAATACTCATCTTGGACACCCTGTATACAGTACTCCTTACCGCCGGTCTCTCTGTATTTCGGTAAAAATCAATCACGTCGGAGGTACAGACAGAAAATGAGAAAAGTAAAGTCGCTCGAACAACGTTTTTTGACATTTCAGATACTCCTGCTTGTTTTTTTTTTTTCGTTGTTTGACACTATTTTTTGTGGAGTTCGTAATAGGCTACAATGTTTATCCCTAAAATGACATTTTCTTGAGAACGTTGAGCCAAGTAATATAGACGGGAGGTCATTAGTTTTATACTACAAGCTCTAAATTGAATCGCGTGGTCACTCTTGGCGTTTGACGCTCTCATGAAATTTCACCTTGACGATTTATAGTCATTGTATTGAACCGTGTGATAATTCAGCAAACAGTGACTTCTTTTCTCTTTGTAGGTGAACCTGATCTGTCCCGTGTACATGCCAGGCACGCGGGACGAAGAAATGGAGAAGTATATAATATACAACGTGTCGAAAGACGAATACGAAACATGTAGGATAACGAATCCAAACCCTAGGATAATAGCTGTGTGCGATAAGCCCTACAAGCTGATGTATTTTACAATTACATTTAGACCGTTCACACCTCAGCCTGGTGGGCTGGAATTTCTACCAGGTATGTAGTACATTGTTTGACATTATTTACTTATAGCAAGATATTCATGGAACAAGCTAGTTTGAAAGGATTCTGTATAAACCGAGTGGAATTTTTCGCAGTTACACTCACCTTAGGCAGTTCAAAAATCTGGTTAACAAAGTTTAACTTTGGGATCCTCATGACAGCCCTGGTGCCCTGACATTTAGGCTTTTGCCTGCGCATTGAGCCTATTTACATTGTTCCTTAATGATGTGCTAATATTCCAGAATTATTCCTAATATAATTTTAGCTAATATTCCAGGATTATTACTCAAATAATTTTATGAAAGTTAGTCAAGATATGCCCCAATGGCTTATATTTTTTTGCTAAAACGTATTAAATTTTTATAAAAATGATGATTTTTATTTTATACCTTGGAAAGTACTTTGGATATTATTTTTCACATCTTATAAGATCATATCAAATAACATATTTTAGTGTAAAAGGTTATTTTATTGTGCCACCTGTGGCGTCCCTGCAAAAATGTGTTGTGATATTTTTTATAAAAAAATGGCACACCAATTATTTTTCAAGTGAATGGTAACTGCTTCTTTTGGCATTGTTGATTATAACCTATTTTTTGTAAAAAATATCTTGCAAGTTGCAGTGATGCCACTTTTGGCGCAATAGAATGGCTTTTTATACCAAAAAATGTCCTTTTACGTCTTATATACAATGGAAAAAAGTATATAGACAAATTAATATTGTGCTGTATTTCTTTTTTAACTTGTTTTATTAATACACCAACCTGTATACATAATTCGTTATAGCATAATACTCACTTATACATAAATAAATTCATTACCTCCCTTCGATAAAAAATTAATTGAAAAAAACTGGACAAAAATATATAGACAAAGCAAAACAATCATAGAAAAAATAAGCAAAATTAATTGAATTATAGAAAACCTACCATGTTTGTGTTAATATTTTGTAGCATTATTATCAATCACCGCCTGGCATCGTCTCGGCATAGATTGTAGAAGTTTCTTGATATAAGATTCATCAACCTGTCTCCACTTTTGCTCTAAAGTGGCAAAAAGTTCATCCTTGTGTGAATAATTTTTATGTCGTATTTGCTTATCTAAGAATTCCCATAGATTTTCAATGGTGTTTATATCGGGAGACTGTGAAGGCCATTTGAAAACTGGTATTTTTTCATCCAGAAAGAATTTCTTTGCTTCGGGTCATTATCTTGCTGGAAGATTGATCTTAAGGGCACATTGTCTTCCATTTAGGGTAACATAACATGCTTTAGTATGTCTGTGTATACATACTTATCCATAATGCCATCTATTATATGTAAAGGTCCCATCCGAAACCCCGAAAAGCACCCCCAAACCATGTCAGACCCGCCTCCATGTTTGGCAGTGGGTAAAGTGTACTTCGGGTTCAATCTTTGTCCACTAGAACGTCTATCGTAATGAACACCATCTGATCCAAACATATTGAACTTGGATTCGTCACTGAAACATACCCTCTTCCAGTCACAGATGCTCCAATCAAATCGCAACCGTGCATTTAGTTTTCTAGGCCGACCACTTCTCTTAGAGGCTTCCAAGATACCTTTTTGTTTATATTTGTTCAATATTGCCCAAACTGCTTTACGCTTCAGCTTCAAATTTTTGGCAATGTCGACTTCACGTTGACCATCTTTGTATAACTCGATGATCTTAGTTTTCACATCGAAAGAAATTTCTGGACCACGCGGCATGGTCTTAAAATCACTCAACTTATTCCACAATACTTCTGACACGAAACTGTACTAAACTAATGTATGAATTCGTTTTCTAAAGGTATTTAGGTAAATATTCATATTTGTCTATATACTTTTGTCCATTACTGTATATGCTAAAATTGAAAATAGTATTTAAACAGCTGTCGATTTCGAAGATAGAAAATAAAAATGTTTTTTTGTTAAATAAACGCTGTAGTAAAATTTTTCTTCATAAATTTGGATTCAAAATAATTTTCTTTGCTTAATCTCCAGGTCTACTTTGAATTTTATTATTTCTTTTGTCCAATAAATGTTTGTGTACCTTGTGAGTTTGTATCTCCTTTAGCGCCAGAAATCCAACATTGGTTACTTATTTCTTTTCCTAGAACTTGGAACTAGGTGGCGCCCAAGCCGCAACCATTTGCATCCAAAAACCAAAGCACAAAGAACCTCACTCTGAGGTCTCATTATATACCATACTGACTTGTGTACGATGCTCATTTTATACAATACAAATTCGATATTTAATATTTTACTAGCGCAGTTGCTGGCACGCTAACGCTATGCAAAATATTGCACGTTGATGTCTTTATTTAAAACCTCACGTAGCGCAGTTGCTGGTATGCTAATGCAATGCTAGCGATATTTTTATCCCTATCTCTAATCATTTTTTATCCTTTGGCATCTTTGATCTGGTATCTGGTATCAGGTATCTGGTATCTGGTATTTGGTATCTGGTGTCTGGTATCTGGTATCTGGTATCCGGTGTCTGGTATCTGATGTCTGGTATCTGGTATCTGGTGTCTGGTATCTGGTATCTGGTATCCGATGTCTGGTATCTGGTATCTGATGTCTGGTATCTGGTATCTGGTGTCTGGTGTCTGGTATCTGGTGTCTGGTATCTGGTGTCTGGTGTGTGGTATCTGGTATCTGGAATCTGGTATGTGGTATCTGTTATCTCTTTATCTGGTATCTGGTGTCTGGTATCTGATATCTGGTGTCTGGTATCTGGTATCTGGTGTCTGGTGTCTGGGATCTGGTGTCTGGGATCTGGTGTCTGGTGTCTGGTGTCTGTTGTCTGGTGTCTGGTATCTGGTGTCTGATGTCTGGTGTTTGGTATCTGGTATCTGGTGTCTGGTATCAGGTATCTGGTATCTGGTATCTGGTGTCTAGTATCTGGTGTCTGGTATCTGGTGTCTCGTATCTAGTGTCTGGTGTCTGGTATCTGGTGTCTGGTATCAGGTATCAGGTATCTGGTATCTGGTATCTGGTACTTGGTATTTGGTATCTGATATCTGGTGTCTGGTATCCGGTGTCTGGTTTCTGGTATCTGGTATCTGGTATCTGGTGTCTGGTATCTGGTATCTGGTGTCTGGTATCTGGTATCTCGTATGTGGTGTCTGGTATCTGGTGTCTGGTATCTGCTATCTGGTGTCTGGTATCTGGTGTCTGGTGTCTGGTATCTGGTATCTGGTGCCTGGTGTCTGGTGTCTGGTATCTAGTATCTGGTGTCTGGTGTCTGGTATCTGGTATCTGGTATGTGGATCTGGTATCTGGTATCTGGTGTGTAGTATCTGGTATCTGATATCTGATATCTGGTGTCTGGTATCTGGTATCTGGTGTCTGGTATCTGGTGTCTGGTATCTGGTGTCTGGTATCTGGTATCTGGTATCTGGTGTCTGGTATCTGGTATCTGGTATCTCGTATGTGGTGTCTGGTATCTGGTGTGTGGTATCTGGTATCTGGTATTTGGTATCTGTTATCTTTTTATCTGGTATCTGGTGTCTGGTATCTGGTATCTCGTTTCTGGTATCTGCTATCTGGTATCTGGTGTCTGGTATCTGGTGTCTGGTATCTAGTATCTGGTATCTGGTATCTGGTGTCTGGTATCTGGTATCTGGTTTCTGGTATCTGGTATCCGGTGTCTAGTATCTGGTATCTAGTATCTGGTATGTGGATCTGGTATCTGGTTTCTGGTATCTGGTATCTGGTGTCTGGTATCTGGTGTCTGGTATCTGGTATCCGGTGTCTGGTGTCTGGTAACTGGTGTCTGGTATCTGGTATCTGGTTTCTGGTATCTGGTATCTGGTATCTGGTACCTGTCATCTTTTATAAGTTTTCATTTTTCGTTTTCCGTTTTCCGTTTCCGTTTTCCGTTGTCCGTTTTCCGTTGTCCGTTTTTCGTTCTTCGTTTTTCGTTTTTGGTTTTTCGTTTTTCATTTTTCATTTTTCGTTTTTCATTTTTCATTCTTCATATTTCATTTTTTATATTTCATTTTGCATTTTTCATTATTCATTCATTTTTCATTTTTTAATGTCGCATGTGTCACCATTAATAGCACACAATGGCATTATAAAATCTTCGATATAGCATTAATGCCCTCTATAAAATTGTATGACAAACTCAGATTTATGTGAGGAGCCGGCAACGTCGCATGTGTCACCATAAATAACACACAATGGCATTATAAAATCTTCGATATAGCATTAATGCCCTCTATAAAATTTTATGACAAACTCAGATTTATGTGAGGAGCCGGCAACGTCGCATGTGTCACCATAAATAACACACAATGGCATTATAAAATCTTGGATATAGCATTAATGCCCTCTATAAAATTTTATGACAAACTCAGATTTATGTGAGGAGCCGGCAACGTCGCATGTGTCACCATAAATAACACACAATGGCATTATAAAATCTTCGATATAGCATTAATGCCCTCTATAAAATTTTATGACAAACTCAGATTTATGTGAGGAGCCGGCAACGTCGCATGTGTCACCATCAATAGCACACAATGGCCTTATAAAATCTTCGATATAGCATTAATGCCCTCTATAAAATTGTATGACAAACTCAGATTTATGTGAGGAGCCGGCAACGTCGCATGTGTCACCATAAATAACACACAATGGCATTATAAAATGTTCGATATAGCATTAATGCCCTCTATAAAATTGTATGACAAACTCCGATTTATGTGAGGATCCGGCAACGTCGCATGTCTAGCTACCGCACTTACAAAAAATGGCGCTTGACACTTGACATATGTGAACCGTGTTCGCCTAAGGATAGCACGTTCTTTCTTCAGTGTAAATGTTTTATGATTTGACAGGAATGAAAATTATGTTTACCTTTTTTAAATCTGCTGACGATTAATAAGGGTACCTCTTAAACTTCTTCAAGGATGAAATACATTATCACGATAGATATACACTGAGGCACTTCGTCTGAACCGAAAAACTAAACACTAGGCACCGGGTAT